TAATTAGCTTTGCTTTTGCCTATTAATGCAATGTTTGAAATTTATCAAAAAAAAAAAAAACATAAAGGATCAGCCTTAAGCCCATATATTTTTGCTTTAGTCATGAATGTTCTCACTAGATATTTGCAAGAGGTTGTACCCTAGTTTATACTTTTTGCTGATGATATTCTTCTTGTTGATAAGACTAGATAGAGAGTTGAAGGTAAACTTGAATTATGGATGTCAACATCAGAGTCTAAAGGTTTTCCATTTGAGTGGATCTAAAAGGGAATATATGGAGTGAAATTTTAGTAATAATAGATCTAGAGAGGGAATGTGATTTTGGGCAATCAAGTTATTAATAACAGTATACGTTTTGGATATCTTGGGTCTATTATTTAGACTAATGGTGAAATAGATGGGGATATTATAAGTATAATTCAAGTTGGATGTCTAAAGTGAAGGAATGTACCGGGCTTGTTGTGTGATAAAAAAGTTTCCCTCAAACTTAAGGGAAAATACTATAAGATGGTGGTGAGACCTGCAATGCTTTATGGTGGAAAATGTTGGCCATTAAAAGAGAAGCATGATATTAAGTTGAGTGTTGCAGAGATGAGGATGCTCAGGTGGATGAGTGGCTTAACTCTTAGAGATGGGATATGGAACGAGTATATACGTGAAAAGGTTTGAGTAGCTCCAGTAGAATATAAGATTAGAGAGAGTCGCCTTAGATGGTTTGGTCACTTAAACAGCAACCTTCCGATGACTCGTTTAGGAAAATAGATGTATTTGATTTGACTTTTGTTAAGAAATGTAGAGGTAGACCTAAAAAGATTTAGTTAGAAAATATTAAAAATGACCTTTCTTTATTAGATTTAAATGAGAATTTTATTCTTAACATGACAAAATGGAGAAAAAATGATTCAAATAGCTGACTCCATATAGTAGGATAAAAAGCTCGATGTTGTTGTTGTTGTTGTTGTGGTAGATTAAGATTGTTTAACTAAATTTTTCCCGTTCTTGAATATTATTTTTTGGAAATACAGAATATGAACCCACCATAGTTGATTAGCCCTCCAGATCATAGAAAAACAATGACAATTAAGAGATTTCATGGACTCAAATTTAATATTAGTTATGGAATTGATTGCATTGTTGATAAAGAGTAAAGCCAATCAAAATCATATAATTGAAATCTATAAGTTAACCCAATCCACCAATATTAAAATATTTTGAGTCACAACATCCATGAGTCTAATTATCAATCATGGGTTGCCTCCTCTCAACCTAAGATATCCAAAACAAACCAGAGAGGCAACGTATATCAAATTGTACTTTCAAGATTAATGGTGACTTATAAAGAGCTTGTTGTACAAACTTGATTGAGTTGTTCAGAGAAACACAATATAGAAGCTTAAGATTTAGAGAAGCAACACATGAATGATAAGAACCCAGAGGCAAGCCATGAATATTGTTTATTTATAAGCTCAAGTTTGACTTGAAGAAGTGTGTTTAGGACATAAGAGTTTACTTCATTTGATAAGCAAGCTTAAGGGGCTATTTAGTATTGAATTGGATTTAACTTAGTGGTATTTAGTAAATCC